ACCATCTTCTTTATCTTCCCGCTTTATTCCAAACTACCAACGTGGCACAACAATGGCCTCTTGCTAGAATGAGACCGGAGGCCAAACAGTAAATTAGATAGAACTTGTGGGCCATGAATGAAAATAAAAAAGATGTCTAGGAAACAAAATAAAATAAAGGGCCCTAAAATAAAACATTATCTGGTTATGTTACTCTTGTATGTATGAGATTTAAAAATGATCATCTGGGTTTTGTAACTTTTGTTTAAATTATTTTTTGGACAAAAATTTGAATATTTCTTCTATAAATCATAAGAATTAGGTAAATTTGGTACTTCTATACATCACTTGGGTCGTAAGCATTTAAATTCATCTCATCTTATATTAGTTTACGAGATTTTTTTTAGGGAGTTTTACTAAAACACCCAAAATGGGAGCTTAAATTATAAAAAAACTCAAGTACTATTTAAACATATAAACACACTCAAAACTCATCATTACACACACTCAAAATCCATTTATAAACACACCCAAAAAGTTGACTTTGGGGTTGATTTTTGGTGTGTTTCTATGTTTAAATAGTGTTTGAGTTTTTCTATAAATACATGTTTAAGATTGAGTTTATTTATAAATTTGTATTTTTTTTAAATGTTAAAGTGACGTTACGAATATACACAAATTATAACATTTTTATAAAAATTTGTAACGTTACATTAGAACTCATGCAACGACGTGCTGACTAAACGCAATAAATAATTTCTTTCCTAAAGAGGAAAGTCCTGGACTTTTCTAACAAGGTTCAAGACAGAGTAATAAACTATTAGTTTGTGAATAAACTATTAATAGACAAACTGTTGATAAACTAGTGGTTTATATTAAACTATGATTGCTTTAATCTAATTGGTGTGGTAATAATTTCTTTAATCTAATTATTGGTGTGGTTCCTTCCAAAGCTAGAAGAAAGGGACAAATATTAAAATAGGGAGGAGAAGTGCCAAACGTATTAGGGTTAATGGACCTGTAAAAAGCCACATAATTTATAGGACAAAGTGGTTGGCCTCTTAATCTGGGGGCGCCGTCTGTATCACAGATCCACAGCCTACAAACTCACCTACCCCTCAACGAAACACTCTTATGCAACTGAAATAACATTTTTTGCTATTTAAGGTTAATAACGTAACAATATATGGGCTAATTTTTCCACGTGTCATCATGTTATTAATTGAGAATAACAAAACAGTGCTATCCTCGTTACATGAAAAAAAAATTCCCCAAAAGGAACTCTCATATCTTTCAAATGTACAAACCCTAAATCACCCAAAAATAAACAAGACTTAACCCAAACACAAATTAAAACAATAAACCAACACGCCTAACTCTTAAAAAGGGACTCAAACTACCAGTCATGACAAGTACAACTAACTAAATATTGTCATGGCTTCAATAAATATTTGAGCACATGTCTTTATGCATTCTTCCTCTTCTTTTTTTGTTTGCTAAATGCTAGTTCTTTTTCCCCCCCTTATTGCAGTGCAGAAAATAGATTCATTGTAGAAGATATAGATTGTGTGGTGGAATCAAAGTAACAAGTTGCTTCTCATTATTTTTGTTTCCTAGGCATGCTAGTTGTCATCATTTGAAACCCCTCTTTATGTTGAGATATTAAAGTATATATGCTTTTTGGACAAAGTTAAGTTGTGACAAAGTGTAAAAGCACCTGAATGAGAAATTCTTGTTTCTTGCATCAGTCATAATGGCATATTGTCATCTTCTCATGCTTGTATATGTTGAAACAATGGCCAGCTTTTACCATGCATTGTAGATTAATTACTTGGTGTAAAAATAGAGGAAAATGCTTATTTTTCATGTTATATATTATTGTCATACAAGCTATAATTTCTTTACTATTATTAGAAACCATTTTGAGAGTAAACTGCAAAATAAATTAGGCAATTCTTGGAAACTGAAAATGTCAATTATAAAACGATATTTTAAACTTCTATAATCTGTAAGGAAGGAAATTCGAATTCAGACACAAAGAGTCGGACACACTTCCTTATTAATTCGTCTCACACCCCCATCTCCATTATTAAGTGATCATAAATTTTGTCTACTCCATTCTTTTTAAAAGTTCCCCAACATTTAATATATTTTGTACACATCCATGCCCCCAAATTCTAGCTCCCTACAAGAAACAGATACTGTAGTAAAAGAAGAGATATCTAGACACTTTTCAGGATTTGATTGGTATAAAAGTGTTAGTTTCTTCAATAAAGAATTTGATTAGTGCTTTGATTTGATAGTTCATCCATGTAATGGGTTATATGGTGTTTAAGTATCAGATTCCATTCCAACTTCCAACCTTCAAAAAAAATTATATTCTAACACACACTCTTGTAGAGATGATTAAAGTAACCGCATTTGGGATTATCAAAATCACAGACCTTTTAAATTAATTTCCTTGGGATAGCTTCTTGGATTCTTTTGAAGGAATAGTTATTTGGATCTGTAACTAGGTATGTTGTAGGTTTTTTTTCATAATTTTTTGTAAAAACAATTATGGAGAAATAAAAAAACCAATCGATAAACAATTATTGTGATTTTTTTTTTTTTTTTTTTTTTTGAAGGGCATGCCTCGCTTTGTTTCATGGGATGGGAAGTTGTTCTTTCCTCTGGACCACAGGATTGTGGGCGCTACAGACTAGCATATTGGTTCTGATAATCAATTCATTTACTTATTGAAACATATTTGCTTGATGCATCTGTCAGAAAGTTTTGGTTGACGGATGTCACTTCACCTACAGAACATCATAGTAGATTAAATAAAATCAATAAAATTACAGTAAAATACTTATCTTTTGAGATATAGAAATCAATACTTCATCTTAAGATTGATTAGAATAAGAATTTTAGGTTGAGGCATGCAATCATTGCCCTCAAAAATAATATCCAAGTGTCGTTAGGTCGCTAGAATCGGGTGAATAACTTAAACCTTTCCCTCGATTAATAAACTAAAAATTGAAAGCGCTAAAGCAATACTATAAAATAAAAAATAAAAAAATATATTTTGAATATTTGTAAGAAGTGAATAAAAAGAAAAAGATAAATGATTCGAAAAATGTGGAGGAGAAGTGAGGAAAAGTCGCTCCAATGTGGTTGGACATTAGAGAGAGAACAAGATAAAAGAGAGGGAGCTTTCCGTATTATTTGATCGATTGGTGAATGAATTATATGTGATTGGACATATGTATGCCCTACAATGCCCTACAAGCCACATTCAAATGTCTGTTTGGTGGCCTTTGGGCCAAGTAACAAATGCTGCCCTCCAAATAATAAACATAAAATCACAAAGATAAGCACAGGAGGAGGCTGAGAAATACAATTACTCAAATACCACGAACTGTGCATAAACAGAATGAAAACAAGATATAAACTAAAAAGTATATGAAATCTATGCTGACCAAGAAACATGAGATCCATGTCTCCATGAAGGCAGCTTAATTAGGTAAGTCAATAGCCTTGCTTTATTTCTAAGAGGTACAAATATTTCAACCCAAATTCATTGCTAGCTTCAATTACTGAAGCTCCAACTCAGAATTTTATGGTCTTCAATGAGTTGCCCGGTTGATGCAGTGAGCCCAACATACATGTCATCGAGAAAAACATCAGAGAGATCAAGAGGAATCTGAATCAAAGGTCTCTCTGGCTTTTTCACATTTTCAGGAGCCAGTGTTATGCTGAGCTGGTAGTTCCAGTACTCAATCCAAACTTGATAGTTGGCTCCATCGTTCAGCTTTACTTCCTTGAAAGACCAATTAGTGTTGTTACTGTTCTCCTCTGTATTATCACCAAGCCAATACCCGGCTTTGTAGGAAACTAGAGAAGTAAGAGAATTGACATCAACACCAACATGGTTGTCATTAACATCATTGAATTCTTGATTTCGAAACACATCAAATTCGACACCAAAAGCATGGTTTCTGGGATCACCATCATTGGTACTGTTCAAGAAACCGAGATGTTGGGAAGAAGAGGCACCTTCGATGCCGGTAGAAGGAACGAAAATGAGGACAAATCCACAGCCAGGGAGAGAATCCTTGTATGGGGATATAGAAAAGGTGAAGGAGGATGTGAAAGGCAGGAGGTTCGAGGAGTCTGGATATCTTGTGTGTACCTTAGCATTGTAGAGAGCTCTACCAATGGAAAAGGTGGTATTTCTTGTAAGAGAAAGAACACCAGAATCTATGGTTGCATTTCCATAGAGCAAGATATCAGATGAATTGAAACCAGTGAAGGAGAAATCAACTGCAAAAGTAAATTGAAGGAGAAAGAGTGGGGTCAGGAACAGCACAAGTAATTGAAAGGACTGCATTGTTTAGAACTCTAGGTCTCCAGCAGAAGCAGCAAACCTACTTGTGTCTTCTACATCAGCATCCAGCAGTTGAATATAAAGCAATTGACTTGCCTTCTAGAAGCAGCAAAAATACCCCAAAATTAACATTTCCAAATTTGAATTGTCAACATTTTTGTGTTTCTAACGGCGTGACTTATGAATGCTCTCCCTTTCCTTTGTCAGAAAAAAAAATAAATAAATAAATAAAGAGAGAGAGGCATCCCAACTTAAAATTTTCAATGCCAAATTGCCAATGAAAGAAGTCAACACAACCAGATAAAATTTTCAACCTTATAGTGCCCGTCTCCCTAACTCAATTAAGGCAAGACCTAGTCTTGGGGTAATATTCGGGGTATTCTTTGTTTTCAAGATAAAATATTATTTAAAATTAAAGGGTTCGGAAATGCTGCACTAACTTTTACTGATGCATACCGAATTAGTCAAGCTGTAAGAAAATTGGAAGTCATAATTACATGAGAAATGAGAATTTAGAAATGTGAACTCCAAAAGACTAGACAGATTCCCACTTACCATTTTTCTCCAAAAATGAAATCAATAAAGGGGGAAGGTGGTTAATTACCAACCTGATCACTGAGAATAAGACAGGTTGACAATCTGGACACAAGTATGAAGAATGCAGCATCTTACTCTTTTCATTACAGAAGACAATTTCATATTTCCCACATACTCCACAGCTTATGGCTTATAACAATTCCTCTACAATAATGGGCCATATATTAGTAGCAAGGGGGAAAAAAGATACAAGTAAGAGAGAGCGTGTGTTCTAAGCTATAAACTTAGTTGAAAATGGACACCAGCTATTCTTCCACGGGTGCACCCACTATACAAAAAAGAAAAGCACCCCACCCCACCCCACCCCACCAATGAATAACTCATATTTCACAAGAGAAAACCAGCAAATTATCTGCAGTGATTTTCCTGATGATGCTCTGCTTTCGGGTCTACTTAAAACCGGCTCAACGACCAGAAACAAATAATGAATTGGTGGATATTTGGTTCCCTTCAGCTTGAAATTTTCTGACCTTTGCCTTCTCTAGGCGTGCTCGTCTAACAGCTTCTTGGACCTGGAGATCGTGGTCCTTCAGCATCTGATCCATGTTGCCAGAGGGAACTAGCAACGGACCTGAGTAGTGCATTTTGTGACCCTTTGATCCATAGCCAACCTGAAATAACCAGAAACAATAATGCTGTATCAGGCAATAAGAAGAATGAATACAAAAAAACAAAACACAAACCAAAAAGAAAAGCTACTGAACCTCAAACAAATTACAACCCTTGGTACTTTACAGAAGTGAATTTTAAATCAAAGAGTCCAATAAATGTGAAATTCCCCTTTACAACAATAAACTATTAATGTATATTTGTAAACCAAAAGATGTACATGTTTACTAGCAAACATACATAATTTTGTTAAGGTAAATAGCGCAGTCCTAGTCACAAGATGGATTAAGTGATGCAAACTGCAGAAAAGTAATGAGGAAATCCATCATGCAGAAAAAAACAAACACGAGTTCTACTACTCACAATAATTGGATCTTTGTTGCTTCTAACATCTTCTTTTTGACGAGAACCTACAACAGCCTGCTTTTGATCTTTTGGTAAAGGATCTGAGGCCTCCTTGAACGAACCTGGAAACCTGCCTATTACTTTTGGACCTTCCATTTGTGAAGAACTAGACCTTTTTCTGCGTTCTTCAGATAACATACTTCTCCTTGCTGCCACTAAACCTGACATTGTTGACAAGTCAGCTCCAGTTGAAACCTTTGGTGCATCATCTGGGTTCTTAGTAGACTTTGCCCATGCAGCACGGTGAGCCAATGGCCCTGAATGGGAAGCTCTCTTATGGTTATGTCCATGATTTTCTACACTTAAATCTACAGCTTGTGATGGCCTCGGTGGATCAATTGGAAAGCCAGAAGCAACTTCTTCTGGATGAGGGTTAAACTTCTCACTCCGGCTCTTAGAATTGTCTTGCCTTTTCTGTAAAAAGAAATCCTTCTGTTGAAATATATCCCATATGACGTAATTCAATAAACAACATCGAATAGAGGCATAATAGTAGTCTTGTATAAACTACAAAAGGGCCCTCAATAAACAAATGAGTTCCGACACATGTACTTGATGGTAACATGCAATGTGGATCACCTAAAATTGTAAATGAAAAAATTATTATTTAACAATCTGAAAGTGTTAAAGCACAACATTCCATTGTTGTACAAAAAGAATCTATGTAGTTAGCAAGACCAAAGATGCTATGTGGAGTTAATTGCATTGGCAGAATACGCAAGGTAAGCTTGGTTATTTATAACTCAAGTGAACATTTGGGTTGACCATAAAAGCCCCTTTGAAGAGGAAAAGACTTGAAATAACCCATGAATCTTAAAGAATAAATAGAAATGGAGAGGATATTATTCCCCAACAGCTTCCCTACAATAACAGCACATTGAATATGTCATCTGTTTATTGCAAGCACGTGTTAAAAGCAAAGAGGCAATCAGAACATATCACCATACATAACCAATTACAACATAAATCAATAGTGGAGATAAATGAGTGATTTTTAGTTAAAATAACATCAGGTTACCTGCATTGACAAGACTAATTCAGCATTGGCATCAGGTGCTGGTATGGCTCGAGACTCTCTTGTTCCTCTCCTTTCATGGTCAACCCTTTGGCCCTTTCCTGCTGCTCCTTGTCTATCAATGTGGGAAAAAGATCATTACTATATACACCACCCTCACTAAGCAGAGGTAAGAGTTGAAGAGGATAAAACAATAGTTACAAGACAAAAACTAATACTAAGCTCACTGCACTCCACACAAACTAAATCTGTAAAAAAGAGTAGAAAGAATTGAGCCAATAATCATCAGTGCGTGAGCACAACTTCTAAAAAAATACAAACCTAATCCCACAAACGTAAACTCTTAAGTTCACACCATCAAATTTAAAAAACATATATTTACACTAATGCACTTCACAAATGAGACCATTGAATCATAACCATGTATCTTAAAATTGTATAACAACTATAACCCAACTAGCGAAAAACACAAATTTAGTTGTTTTTGGCAAACTCAAGAGTCCAGACTCATTTGATTCCACTCAAGCCTAACCATGCCATGATACGTTTTGAGCACAGACGACCATTAAGTGTCAGTATTTTCCCTTTAATTAATGACAAGAACCAAACAACCTCTTTCTAGAAGCTCTTTGATAAAACCACATTAGCAAAACTTCACCCACAGGAACCATGCATCAAGTGTGCCTGGACTCACTGGAAGGCCTCATGGTGCATGAACCATTAGCTTTCATGCCACACATATAAGTAGTTTAAAACACACACGCGTGATGTATGGTGCAGTGCCTTGTAACAATAATTTGAGAAAGAATAATTTTCAAGTTGTAGCAAAGATTATGTCACAATATTCACCTTCTAGCTTCCTCATCCCGTACTTTAGCATCAAACTCTTTGCTCGGAGGATACTTTGGCAAACTTGATGGATCACAAGGAAGAGGTTTTGTTGTAAAGAACTGTGAAAAAACAAAAGGAAAAGGATAACACATGAGGAAACAACAAAGCAATTTATGCTTGAAAACTTCTCAAAATATGCTTCTAAGTAGGATGATTATAAAATCAAAATAGTTATCAGATGAAAACTCATTGTGGCCTATAACTATTTTAAAAGTATAGTCAAGAAAACGAAAAAAAAAGACAAAAACAAAAAAACCTTGATGCAATCTGGGTGGTTCACTTAACATGATCTACAGAGCTAAGAAGTAGCTATCATTAGATGAAAGAAAAAGAGAGGAGGCCTTAATGAGTGAACTTAATAACAATGACTTAAACATAGTACAGTTGTATTTTTCAAATTCCCACACAACAGCAACAGACTGAAAGCACAAAAACATGATCTACTGCTCTACTGCACACACGTAAGCATGCACAGGCACAAACATAGAGATCTAGAATGGGGTGACCATTCCTCCTCAATACAAGATGTGGCCTCTTACAAAATGACACCTGTTTTTTTCTTTCTTTTCTTTTTTTTCTTTTTTTTCTTTCACCGACTCTCTCTTCTCTCATCTCTTTATCTCTCCATCCCTTTCTTCCACCATTCAAAAAATTTCCAAAACTCCCCAATAAATAATTCAATAAAATTAAAAATTAAAAAGGAGAGAAATCAATACATAGTGTTTGGGTGATGATGATGGAGGAGCAGCGATGGGAAGAGAAAGGGGCTGAAAATTTCTTCTAAAGAGTTGCAGGGGAAGAGTTAGAGATGGGAAGATGAGAGAAGAGAGAGGGAGAGTCAGTGAAACAAAAAAAAAAACAAAAAAAACAGAAAAAAAAGAAACATGTGTCGTTTTTTAAGGAGGCCACATCATGTGCTGAGGAGGAATGGCTCCTGATATCAGGAGCCAAGCATTGTCCGAAAGGAAATATCAAGATAACTCAAATACTGCGCAGCAAAAAGAATGACAGTAAGAAGACATCATATATGACTTAAGATCCAAACCTCGCTTTTAAGAGCACAAGCTGCAGATCCACGATCCACAGGGTCTATAGAAAGAAGGATCTCCATAAGTGCTAGAGCTGGTGCAGGGAAGTCCTTAAAAGTTTCTGCAACACAGCGTCTATAAGGCTGTTGGGGCTTAAATATGGTTGCATGAGGCAACTTTGATTTCCTCCAATAATCTTCCGAAGGTGAGCCACAAAGCTTGAAAATTTTATGCAACTGCTCCACCTACAAGGCAAAAATACTCCAACCATTTAGCATACATTACTGAGTTACACAACACTTACATCCACAAGAAACATAAGAGATTCTCAATAGTAAAGGCAAAAAGGGATATCATAACAATAAGAGAATTCACACAACTATAAGGGCACAGAGGACAGAGTAAACTATCCCTAGTCTACCAGCCAGTAACCACCGCTATCTTCACAACCAGATGAAGTTACTCACAAAACTATCTCCAAAGGGCATCTCACATCCCATAAGCCATTTAGGAGAAAGGGGAAGAAAATTCTCAAATACTATAATCAAACTACTTTCGTAGTGTACATCGAAATTAAAAATAAAATAAGAAAATGCTATTCAGAAAGCTACAAGACAGGCATGCCACCACTAGGGTTATGTTGTAAAATCACACAAAAACAGAATAAGGATGGAAAACAAGGTTATGGCATGATGAAGATACCAAGATTTATAATGGTGAGTTGCACTGAAAAATAGAAGAAGGATCCCTAGCAGATTTTGTGTTCCCTCTTTCTTCTTCCACTAGCCAGAAAGTATTAAATTTAAAAGCAAAAACTATAAATATTTATCAATCATGTCGATTAAACCATTCCAGCCTTCACCCAGATGAACCTTTTAGAGATTCGTAGGACCAGACAATTAAATGAACTAAAGAATATGCCATTTAACAGCTTTCGGAGGAGCCTTTAAGCCATCAAAGTTGCATTGATGTCTTTTCCTCAACATCTGCAGCAGGACATTATTCATGCTATATAGGAGAACTGTCCTAGAAATCAAAGAATTGTCTACCTGATACTCATTTGGGTATAAATCTGGGAGTTTCAAACTATACTGGAAAAAATATAAGATTATCTAATGAGAATTAGCAGAGTCCAAATAATTGCTTAGATTTAACATTCGTAGACCAAGAAACTACTGGGAATTTTAAATGCTGCAAGCCATGAAGAGTAAGCATATGTATGTGCGTGTATGCATGTATGCATTTGAGCCACCATGATTCTGAAAGATAACAAGTAGTGAAAAGCATCAGTTCTACAAGCCCAGAGCGACACAACTATAACTACCTCAGTTCTTCCAGGCATAATAGGCTTGCCGGAATACAGTTCAGCAAGTATGCAGCCTGTACTCCATAAATCCACAGCAGTCCCATAGTAAGTAGCACCAAGTAAAAGCTCGGGTGGTCGATACCAAAGAGTTACAACACGGCTTGTTAGAGGCTGATTTTGACGGGGATCAAAAAAGCTTGCCAGACCAAAGTCAGCAATTTTCAACATGCCATTGTTGTCAATTAAAAGGTTGGAACCTTTAATGTCACGGTGCAGAACACCACGACTGTGACAATGTTCAAGTCCACATAATAGTTGCTGCATGTAACATTTAACCTGCCAATAAATCACTGAAGTCTCAGTGCCACCGTCCAACTGAACAATTCTGATACTAACATTCCATAAGTTTTTTGGGAAAATATATATCAATGAATTGAGATTACAAGATAGTATTCACACAACCACATGAGAGCTAACAAAATAACCAATATCATCAACAGATGCGAAAGATGCAGGAACATCATGAACTGCAGATATAGGCAGCAAAAATTGAATAAAAAACGGAGTAACTTGTTATTTTAAGTCTAAGAAGCAAAAACTACCATTACGTACCTGTGCTTCTGTAAACTTCAGACCAGGGTGTGAAGCAAGCCCTGCCAAATCATGCTCCATGTACTCAAAAACAAGATACAAGCTGCAAGACATCCTTGAAGTAACTAGACCTTCTAGCTTTATTACATTTGGATGATCAAGCCTTCGTAAAATGTGAATTTCCCTTGCCATAAAGCGGACACTCTCAGGCTCCAGGTTATCAAACCTCACTTTCTTCAAAGCAACAATTTTCTTTTGATCAAGATCACGAGCCCTATAAACATTACTATAAGTTCCCTGACCAATCTGCATAAAACAAAGGTTAGGACACAACCAAAACCTGTCAATAGGTATAGCAATCTAAAGAGGATAACAGCACAAAAATAACAAAACACGAGTGAACTAGCAGTTGGAAGAGCCCGATAGAACAATTTAGCCTTTATTGAATACAATAAATCTATTGCTTTTCTCAGGATTCTAAATTATGAAAATCAGAGAGATAGATAAGCATAGTACCCAATAGAACACCCAAAACATGAAATTGGTAGAGTTTATAGAAACAAGAAACACCAATCTGCTTAATTGCAACCGAACTAAATCCTATAAGTGTCTCCAACCCCATTCATAACTTGCAGAGTCAACTACTCCAACATCATAAAGTCCAAAGACTCCCAACTTAAATATGTCATGCTTAAACCCATGTCAACTGACTTAATTACATGCCAGTAAAGAAGGGGTGCAAATATGACTCATGTTCTTGGCTCGATAGTGGAAAGTTAGAGAATTAATTTGTGGCACCCACTTGATGAATCTTGAATTAATCACCCACGAATTTCAATTATCTAGATAGTAACTAATCAGAGGAGATCCAATATCTACACTCATTTATTTTAGCTAAATAACACATTGAGTACCTCATCAACTAAGGCATCACTGATCAGCTGCTGTATACTATCATAATTTGCATGTGTAATCCTTTGTTGAAATAAACTAATTGTGCATAAGTTTCAATTTCTACTCTGTGGCACAACTGGCATTTTGGCAATTATATAGGTAAAAGTATGATTACCAAGAAAAAGGTAATCATGGTTTCAATTTCAACATTCTTCAAGACAATCTTTGAATCACGGCATCATGATAAATGGAAGGGAAGAAGATGCTTTTAAAACCACTCAAGGATTGATGAATTTCTTCAAGCATACAATGCCAGTCCTAGGCCAACAGAAGACAAATGAGTCTCATTACTATTTTGTGATTCTCTACATCTTTTATATACAATGCTTCAACCCGATGTGTTAGCCCTTAGTTCACATTTTCCCATTAACTTTACTTATTTAAGGTTTTCAGATTTACCAGAGAAAAAACTGTTAGAGAGGGAAATTTGCAATATTATGAATTACATGTACGTATTCATAAATATACCTTGAAACAACATTATTAGTTAAGGAGGTTGAAATACACGTAATTCGCTCACTCCTAAGTGACTCATCAATATGGGCAACAAGTAAAAACAATAATACTACCCCCCAACATCCGACCCCAGACTAAAATTGACAACTTCTATGAAAGTAAAATGAAAAAAAAAAAAAAAAATTGTTATTCAACAAGTTAAGAACAAAAAAATTATCTGATAATAAAAAATAACACAACGCAAAATCAATGGATTAATCAATAACAAAGACAAGAATGAAGATCTGTCTTGCATCATAAAGCTAACTAGAGAACTAAAGAGGAAAAGAACCATACTTTATCTAGCTTCTCAAATGAATCTGCACGCCGTGGTACCCATCCTTTGATGGCCTCTCCAGCCACTGCAGCTAGCCAGGTTGGCCACCCTGCGGCAACCTGTTCCCCTTCTACAGCTTTCGGAATGCTACCCATCCCAGGATGTTGAGCAGCAACATATTCCATCTTCTCCCTCTTCCTCTCGAAATTCTCACCATGGGATCGAACATTCCCGTTCAATTGCTTATCAATTAACATTGTTCTCCCATCATTACTATCATATCGATCTTTTGCTCGATAAGCTTCCTCCCTCCTTGAGGAAGCAACCCTTGTTGCCCGCGAGTCTGATGCCGCCTTGCTTGACAATCTCTCTCTGGGGCTGTCCTTGCTATCCTCAATAGCAGAGGGCTTGCAATAAATGCAACCCATTATGCACCAAAACCACCACCAACAAGTACCTCCTTTAGAACCAATGTTCACACCCTCAAAAATCTTGCATTTTTACAATACAATCCTCATCCTCCATTCCCATCATTACCATACTCAACCCACCAAAACCCATATACCAAAACTTTAAAACGGAAAGATAAATAGAGAAACTAACCCAGAATTCAACTCATCCAATATATATGAGCCATCAAGCACCAAATGTATGAATCCACTCCTTCACAAACCTTCAAAGTCACACCTTTTGCAAGAAGCAAAATCCTAAATTTCAGAGACCCAAACCCTGGAATCTTGAAAATCTTCAATCTTTCACCAGACTAAGGCAAAGTCGGCACATTATAGCTTTAAAATGCCAGTCCTCCTTGTACATAGAACGCATGCTCTCAATGTAACAAGAAGACCCACTAATTCACAATAAACAAAACCCTAAATTCCAAAAATCCAAACTTTAACTAAAAAGAATCTGCAAAATGATGAGTACCTTCAAACCTTAAAAATGGCTATTTTAATGCGCAGTGGAAACAAAGGTTCCAATCCAGGCATCAAACCCACCCACCACACGAGTAATAGAGGAAGAGACTGAAACCCTAGAGATGTATTTAGGGCTTGAAGAACAAGGACATGGATCAAAGGGCACAGAGGCTTGAAAGAGACACGTAGAGTTAGAGTTTCAGAGAATAAAAAAATTTAACATAAAAATTCTTGAATATAATAACATGGAGTAAAAAAATATTGATGAGTGAGAAGGGGGAGTGTCTCCCAGCAGTGGCAGCTTTCAGTGAAAGAGAAAAGACTGTAGTTTGTAGAGGCCCTAAGCATCAAGACAATCTTCTCTTCACCATCTTTCCACGCGCCATTTACCTTAATGAATGAACTTAGCTAATTATTCTTATCATTTTTAGAAAAACATTTCAACCCTTATTTTCTTTCTATTTCCACCCAAAAATTAAGATTCAAATTTAGGACTATGTTCCGACAATAACAAAGGAAATAAAAATCTTAAGAGCTTTAAACCTAAATAGTTTGGAAACCCTACTTACGGAGGAACACCAAAACAAATATTAAAATTTTGAATTTCAACTTATTTAGTTCGCCGTCAAAACTTAAATGAAATATAAAAATACATGAAAATTGTATTATTATTTATTTTTATAACAAACGTTTGGGAGATTGCATTAATAATTTACGTCCCAGAAGGCAATACAAACACAAATGCTACAAAGGCCAATATAAACACTACTAACAAAGGGGTGTGCGAATACAAACACTATCCATAAAGGAATAACAAATTAGAGAGATCCATCGAAAACACTAATCTTCTACAATATACCTCCACTCAAAGCCAAAAATGTATTCACCAATGCCTCCTTGGCCTTGAGCTAGGTCATCTAAGCATCCCACATCATTACATTCTAAAATCATTGTTGAAAAAGGAGAGAAATATATAAGCCAATTTTTTTCCTCAAAAATTAACTTCTCACCTGAAAGGGAATCAACTACTTATTTCAGCCAAATATAAATAATAATAAAATAGTTATTTTTTAATTAAATTTTTTCATGGGTAGCAAAAGGGAACAAAAATCAAATATTAATAGAAAAATAAAATATTTAAATTTGAAATATCTTCCAACATTTTTTTTTTGTTTGAGCAGAAAAGAGTACAAAAGATAGCTAAATGATCCGAAACCCAAATATGAGAGGCATATACAAAAGCATAATCTTTAAAAAAGATTTGCGACCTAAACTAAACACAAGAAAACAAAAGAAAAAGAAAAAAGAGAAATCTCTTGGACTCCTCTTCAATATGTTCAACAAAACAGCATTGCTAGCAATCAAAAACAGCAGCTTGCTCCTTAGCAACATCAACGTGGATCTGAAATCTGATGAAAAAATATCTTCCAACATTAAAAAGAGATGTGTCGATGCAACTAAATTGAATATATAGAAAAAAGAATAATCGTAATAGGGCAGAATAGCACGTTTGACAATGTGTGAGTGCATGTCACGTGCTGGAAGGAGGGTGAAAGTAGTACAAATATCCTTGCTCTCTGTCAATTGTCTCCGTAGTTCGTAGAGAAAAAGAAAAGTTGGGCTGTTAATGTTTTTTTGGTGATTCAAGTCGTTGGCTTTTCCACTGCTTATTAGGTGACAAAATTACTGTCCAACTCGCTCACACCGTAAACTCGATACAACAAACACCCCCTCCTCCTCACTCAACCAAAAAATGACAACAAAAAATAAATAAATTATAAATATTAAAAAGAGAGTATTTTTTCTTACCACTTTAACTGAAGGTGTATCTTCATCATCATTCTCAACAAACACGTGTCAATTGTTGAGAAGGATAATGAGAGTGCACTTTGGATTAAACTGGTGAGCAAAAACATTTCCGTACTTATTTAAAAAGAGGTAATTCATATTTTCCTGGAACTAATATTAAATTATGATGTTACTTATTTCCAAATTAAGCATCTTATGATATCATCAGTTCACCTCTCAATCATTGGACCCCAGCCACAAACAATTTCTTTGACTTTATTTCATATGAATTAATTAAGTACTAGTAGTAGGTGATTCTTTGTATAAATATTGGAACAATTATATCTTCTTCTTTTTTTGTTGCTCTTTTTGCCAAAATAAAATACTAAATGTGATTCTAACAAATTTATTATTATAATTTTTGGAGTAATACCTGTTGGATTTTAGCATAGGGTTAAAAAGATTTTTCTCTCTCTACAACGAAAATTATTTTGTCCATAGTCATACTTGGTTAACGAACGAACTTTTATTCATGCAATTTTTAAGTTAGTATTTATCACAATCAGCTAACATTTAGCCACTCTTTTAAAAAGTAACAAGCTAACATTTAGCCATTCTTTTAAAAAGTAACAACTGCTATAAACTTCTTCAAGAATAGCAAATAAAATTAGGGGTGCATACGCCCTACTAAAACGAAATTACTTTTTTATTTATAGAAATTCTAAGGTGTGACAATCCATTGTCATGTAGTGTTACCGATTCGCATATTATAATATAAATGAACGATGAGATTGATATGCCATGAATCTAGAATACAGTACTAATCTAGGTGTTTTAATGAGTAAATTAATAACACTACGTGGCAATATGATCGTCATAATAAAGAACTAGGGTAATGTTGTAAAGTTTATAGAACACTAAAGATTTATAGATATTTTCTTTTTGGTCAAAAGTTTTAGATAAGCTGCATATATCTTAACATTCACACTCTATTTTTAAGTACTTGTTGTATCAAGAAAGTTTCACTACATCGAAGCTTGATAATGGTGCCTCTACATATTTAAAAAAACAATTAGAAAAGGGATATTCAAGGCATGTGATCGTAATATCTTGTTTGAATGAATTCGTAACATCGCATTAACATACTACATTGTGCTATTGTCACGCATAACGATATTTAACTGTACACATTAATGCTCTAAAAAATAATTGTAATAAATTTCTTGTTGTGTGCATGAAATTTAGGAGTAGGTAATAATTAGGTCCACACGAGACATGTAAAAGTGAATTATTAGTGGGAGTAAACAAACAGTAATTAAGTGTTTTTATGCTAGTCATGATGAATCATTTCATGGGGCGGTTCCACCAAAGCTGCACTTGCATAGATTAAAATTTACAAGCCCCATGAAATTGAATGACCTAACAAGAGCTGTCGATGTCTATTAAATTTGATGAACAGATATCTACATAATCATGCGTCCATGAAATTTATGGCTCTGTCTTCCTCCCACCAGGACAAACAAACAGCTCCATGGGACCCGACCCATTTCAAGTTTTAGGGTTTCTGCAGTGAGCCCCACTCTTTTTGGCCCTCTGTCAATGTAGATTTTGATTTGTCCCCATGCCAGCAGTCTAAGTTACACATGTTTGTAGGAGGCAAAGGCAAAGCTTCTCACAACAATATGTGCCTGCCATCTTGGCTTTGTGGTTTGTATTGTAGTCACCAACTCTTAGCTTTAATAATCTTGTGGTTATAGAGTCATGCACATTAAATTCGCTTCGACTTATACAGATTGGGGCCGGCTATGGCTAAGGCAGCGAGCCGTTCCTTACATCCAAGTTTGAGTCACATTTTATATAAATTAAATTAATTTAGAGTAATTTAGACTAATCGTCTATATTTTAAAACAAAAAATATTATCTATTAGAAAAATAAATATTGCCTTGAAACTTGATCTCCGACAATCCAGCTACACATATTGCATATAGAATAATAGTTAATTTGGGATCTGTTTGATAACCATTTCAATTTTAGTTTTCATTTTTTATGCTAGAGTATAGAAGAAAAAGAGGGGCAATTGATGTGAGAATGAGAGTGAAGATGAAATTGAGAGGGAATAACAAAAATTAAAAACTTATTTGAAATTGTTTTCACTTTTGTTACTCCTCAGTCCCATTTTTACTCTCATTTTCCTCTATTTTCTAGCAGAAAAATTATAAATTGAAAACTAAAAATTAAAAATAAAATGGTTATCAAACAACCCGTTAGTGTTTGGTTCATTAATACTCTGTGATCATTCCCCACCCTCCGGCTTTGCACGAAATTGGTGTTTGCCAGGCCTCAAGCTTTCTTTCTTCGGCCGGATTGCCCGTGGCTTATCCTTTTTCTGGGCCTTGTATTTTGTTGGTTTTAGTTGGGCCAGAGGGCCCCATTATATTTTTCTTTGATTTCTTTAAGAAAATAAAATTTATTGCTTTGACCGCTGCCCATGCATCAAGGGTCCACTCAATTAATTGAAGAGTACCCATGTCACATGGTCTCGCAGTTCGGAGGCATCAACATTTCTATGTTATTTTACAAGACAAAAAATCTAAATAATACCTCTACTTTAATATTTATTTATATTTTTTGATGAATAGTTTAACATTTATTCATTCATAAGTATTTTGATATAGCCTAAGCATTTACTTTTGTATTCAAGGTCATTGATTTAATTTCTTCTCCTATAATATCGTTTGTATTAAAATAAAAAAACTAGCATATATTCTAAATAAAATTTATTTTAATTAGAGTAACACGTTAACATTTTGGAAAAAGCAAAAGGAGAGAGAAAAATTTTAAAAGAAGCAAAAATGGACAAAAATGCCCTTATTTATTTTTATATTTCCTAAAGAATCCAATACATTTGCATGTCTTTGATTTGAAAGTTGAGTGGTTTTTTTGTCTTTTTTGAAAAAGGTTTGGCTTTTTCCAAAAGTGAAATTTTTTTTATGTCTAAAACCTAAAAAACCTTTAATTATACCAGGAGTGTTAATTTAACTCCAAACTTTTCTTAGCCAAATTTCTCCCTGAACTATACAAAACTGAAATAATTAAGTGGTCCTCCAAGTGAATATTACCCTTATAATTAACCTTTTTCACAGTAAAAAAAATTCTCAAATTTCTTCTTCTTAGTCTTTGAGATGCCAAACAATACTTTGATCAACAAGAAAACTAATATATTTAATTTGTAGCCAAATTATACTTTTACATTCAATTTCATTATGTGAGTTTTTGCCTAATTTTACAAGTGCAAGAAACTTATGTCAGAAAAGTTTACACTCACCTTTTAATCATTTTAAAAAAATATTAAAACAAAATTTCAAACTATCATCGCAACTTTTTTGAATCATGCAAAAACCAAAAACAAACGTGCTCTGTCTTAATTGGGATATCGAGCTTTTACATTTAGCGACTGTGCATCTATCTGCATTCTGCAAGATTTGAACCATTCTAATAATCTAATGACTCAAGATATGACACGTCAATTTTTAACTTTTGACATGTATCTATTTAACTAA